CCCATGTGTGCATCTTGTACCCTGTTCATGTGGATTTCCCCTTCATACTCAGGCTCTCGTTTTTCCTTCCACAGTCCAAAAGCATCACTCAGGTGGACCGCAACTGCACAGCATGCCTTCTGTGTGGTATATTTGAAGGTCTAGCGTTCAATCCGGGGTCGTATCCCCGTATCCTGCATTTCCTGGAACAGGCTCTACTGTCACCATGCCCCTGCATTGGAAAGGCGGTTATGAAATTGATTTTTACATTGATTGAAACATTAGTTTCTTTTCCTGGCATCAAAGTCCTTTAAAATGTAAAATTATGCTAATGTATTATGCTTTTAAATGTTCATACAGTGTTGTGAGCATTCAAGCTTCACTTACAAGTAGATGATTAACATTTGATTACACAGCCTTTAGCAACCAGAGGTATATTTACATATTTAATTTTTTTGGCAGATGCTTTTGTTACATAAACCAGTAGAAATACCGATTTTGTTCCTATAGTGCTCGTAACGTTCTTTAAAATACGATTGCCTATTTAAGCTCATACTGTGTTTTTCTGTTCAATTCCTTGTAGGAATGATATCTAAAAAAATAATATGTGATCATTTATTTTACAGATTTTATGATTAACGATAAAATGGAATCGTCCAGCATCCTTAGAAGCAGACGTGTGCCACCATTATAACCAATGTTTACGTACATGATACCTTTGCACTGCATACCATTTTTCTTTTAAAACTGCAACAGAAACGCAGGCTAGATGACTGAAAACTCATAAATCTTTGCTATCTTGCTTTGTGTGTGGCCGATTCCTACTTCGCTGACAAAGTCGATAATCACCGATTAGTCACAGTTAGGTATCGATACTGGGTTACCGATAATACCGTTATATTGCCTAGACCTATGTACGTGTAACTCTCTATGTTGTTTTTTGAGTAAGCATTGTGTTCAAACAGTTAAAGTATAACTAGCTTTTGTAATTCTGTGAGAAGCATTCTGTCCAGTATTAAACGGTTTTCTTTATTTCAGGCAGGGTGGATATATTTGTATATCTTCTACAATTCAATTCAGGATCTTTTCAATTAAGATATAATCACTGGAGGCCAGATTCCAGCAACATCTTTCTAAATCAACAGCAATTTTGGATGTTAATGTAGATTTCTACAATAACTTGTTATTAAATCGTTGCATGATCAATGTCATTGTGGAATATCTTCACAGCTTACAGTACATACATTAATGATTAAACAAAACATTTAAGTTTAAATTTTATTAGCCGGAAAAATATTAGTATTAAACCCAAAAGTGAACACAATATTAAAAAGTGCTGATTAAAGCATGAAATAATAAAAAATAATAAAAAATTTAAAGGAAAGGGACAAAGACTTGGAACCGGACTACATTTCGTTTTATTTTTATGACGCGACAAAGTTCAAAAAACGTTTTATGTGCGTGTCTTTAAAAGATCAGCAAATAGCTTAGTTGAAATAGCCGGAAAAGTGCTGGCTTCCACATCTAAAAGGAGGATGGGATTATATGCTGTCACATCCATAAACACGAAATCTAAAATCTGTTTCATGGAGAGCAGGACGGCGGCTGCTCTATCCTAGCAGCACGAGAAGAATACTCGGTGAAAAATTCAATTTTGGCAGCTCTGAACAAATTCTGAATCAATAAACCACTTTGTTGCGGGGCTCAACGAAAAGGAAGCCAACTGAGTAAATGGATTATTGGAAGAAATAGTTGATCAGGGAGAGTATAGTTGCTCCTGGTGGCTACTGAGAGCCCAGGCGCCATCTGCTGTGAGAATGTTGCCTACGGCTGCTGAGGCCTTTCAGGGTACGACAGACTGCAATACGAAGCACTATTCACAAGTACACCAGACTTGGCACAATCGCTCATGTTCACAGCTAAGTCGACAGCTAATATAAGTTTAATTAAACAACTTAATAGAACAATGACTAGCATTTTTAGATAAAATTATACCCACACCAGCAGATGGGCTAAATAACAGCTCATTTGTAAAATGTCTTTATGTTCCTGCATTTTCATCTGCGAATTGAACATTTGTCGAGATGCCCTACAAACGTCACCTACATATTTCTTTCAATCATTTTTCTGAGAATTTTACTTCTAATTTCACCATTTTGGCAAACGGACAAGCATACTGTACAACGACGTCATAAAAGAAATAATGAATTACGTCTTACCGCTTCTTATTTAGTGTTTGTGAACAAGTTGTAAAAAGTTATGTCACCAGGTGGCTTATTGCAGGATGACTAATGGAAAATGTCTTTGTGGCTTTAGATGTACAAGCAGATGGAGGACAGGGTCTGTCCATTAACATACGAACCAGTCCAGTACAGGCAGGTACTGCACTCTCTCTAGAGAAAGCGTGCAGGAACGGAGGAATAAAGTTACCATATAGCAGCCAATGCAGCAGATAATTTCTGTGCAAAATAAGGGCCGATGTTCTGCAAGGCAAATTCAGGTAAACAGCATTTGACCTTAAAATACTCTAGTCTTAGTAATACAGCCACATGAAAGGCAGAGAAAATATCAGGAAACAAGATTAATCATGTTGCTAAAATTGTAGCATATGAAAGAAAGTTCTAGATTTACGGGGTACTTAAAGATTGATGGGACCTGTTTGAGGCAGATGGGTCATATCTGAATCAGAGATGCACCGGGAAGCCATAGAGTAGCTGAGGAATATTTAAACTGGAGTCTGTAGGGACAGAAGCCCACAGCAGCACAAACCAGCAGAGTGCAGAGATGAACAAGGTGATCTGCAATGTGTCATTTGCGTATCTAAATGCTATAAATGCTAGGAGCAGCTGACACAGAAGCTCTTCATAAGACTTCAAAACTATATTTTCTCTTCAGTATTACAACAATTACTGGCAAATAATAGTCAAAGTTGCTATGTTATAAGATAGAACAGGTAGGAGATCATCCGAGTATCTGATTTAGTATCACAATGGTGGGGAGAGAGCCAAACCGCACACACATACGGAGCCAGGGATAGGAATCGAACCCGGAACCCTGTAGTCTGCTACCCACAGAGTTGCCGTGCCGCCCCACGAGGAGATAAAAAACCAATAATATCTCAGTGATATGACTACATTTTCACAGCTTAGATTCCATAATATCTGCTCCTTAAACACCAGACTTGCAGATATTCCTGGGAGAGGGACTGACTAACATTACACTAATCTAAGTGTATCCAGTAATCTAGCCAACTAACATTAACCTTATAATTGACCTCACTTGTATTGCATGTCAAATGATGCTAGAATTATGTAAAATTAAGTTAAGTGGCTGAGCACTAGTTAAAGGTAGCAAGCAATAATTCAGAGAACTGACTGGAAAACTCATGAGGAATAACACAGCAATGTGCAAAAAAGTACTTGACTACTCTCCTGTTATTTTTCTTTGTTTTAAAAAACCACGTAGAAATTATAACCCAGCCAGACTCAATGCGGTTATACACAAGGAATGAACAAATGCTTAGTTTCAAAGCAAACATTCATGGTGTCGTTTCTAACTTGGATTGAAAAGCAGTTAAAAATAAAAAAAAAATGAAACAACAATAACAAAACACATAATATTCCAAATTTTTTTAAAAATACCCTTTGAATGAATTAAGGATAAAATTGATGCATTCAAATATTTTTTAATCGTTTCTGCACAGATTTACAATTTAATTAATCTTCACATCCAGTATCTGAACTCATTTAGAAAGTAAAATAAATCATGTGGATAAAATTTTTGTTATCCCAATCTCTCCACATGTGATTCCACATGTGATTTTGTCCAACATCCATTCACCCCGCATGACAAATGAAATACATTAAAATGATCAAACGAAACAAAATGCAATTACATGGCAGACATAACATTGCACACACTCATGTGAATTGATATTTCTTAAAACGTGCAGTACACATTTGCCAGATCACTCCACCATGGTACTTTAAATTAGACTACAGCTCCAAATTATGATAGACAACACAGGTGTGCTGCAAATCTCCAGCTGCTCGGCACGCGTAACTCACATGCGATATCTCACTAAACGCAGTCACTGCAAATATATACTGTATTTGCACGCACGCACACACACAGGTAACTATATGCACCGGGAACAGAACTGACCTTGCCCTCTGACCTTTTTCGAGCCTTCCAATTCAGTTATTCAAACAATGCCTGCAAAATGCCACCTAAGTCACTTCTCAAGCACAGCTACATTCTCCCGATGTCTTTTATGTTACAGCCCCATAAACACGGCCAACGTAATGCAGACACAGAAATCACTCTTTCTGAACAAAGCTGACAACTTCCTCCCCACAGAACAGAGACAGCGCCTGTCAGAGGCCGCATGATGAATGATGATAGTCTCCATATGCCCATATTTACAGTATCCGTCTGCGCTGAGGGCACAGAAACACTCAAGGCTTTATGCAGGCTTGTGTGTACTTAAAACAACAATTCTTTCAAGACATGCCAGCTACAGATTATAGCCCTGCTTTATTCATTCAACCACCTTAGGGAATCTGACAGAGGAATAATTGTAGAATTGGGCTGTGTCATTAGTTAAAACAAGATTTTTTTCCTCCCCCAGTATAAAGCAAATTCATTCCATTACCCTTAAAAAAGCAGAAAAGCGATACAGAAAGGAAAATAAGGCATCTTAGCTTACCTCCATTTTCTTCAGCGTTGCTGTTATTGGTCTCCGTCATTTCAATACGCTCTAAATCATATTCACACACAGATTCAGACGCCCCATCAACAAGGCTGGCTGATTCTTTCTACACAGAACACAATAAGAGAGGGAGAAAACGGCAGAGCAAATCCCTGGGCACATGCTTGTTTGAAATGCACAAGTGCAAGCACACTTCACATATTGATTCACTGTTAAGAATGGTATCACATCTGCCCCGCTTTTATGACTAATAACATGAGGTTCAAATGCTGTTCATTCTTCCTAGAACGGCTGCATGCTTCCTCTCTCTCTCCCGGCAGCAGACGAGTCTTGCAGCTTAAATTCCATCTTGGCAGTTTGGCGCTTGCACCACTGCTACAGAAACACAAACCTTTAATATTGCCTTTGTCTACTTCCTGAATCTGGACTATTATAGCAGCAGGAAAAAACACACACACACACACACACACACACAAAGCACAGCAACAATTTATGCAGTGTGTTGCTTTTTTTTCAGACTAGTTTTAAATTTTTACATTTTATAAATATGTATGGGAAGAAAAAAATCAATCTTAAAGAAATCAGACTTACAATTGAACCAATTTACTTCACAAGATAACGAGCTTAGTTTAAGTAATTATTTCCATTTTTTTTTCAGAGAAATATAAAATTGGATAGTCATTAAAGAATTTACTGCGACGATAATGCAACAATAATTATCCTGGTAAGTGATACTGTACGTCTCACAAATGTAACCAGGCACACTACAGCAGTGTGTACTAGAGTAGGCAGTTCCGAGAGAGTGGGACTTAATGCTTCATATAAACTGCGTTCAATTCAACATATATATGGGCTTGGCAACAAAGTGATACTAGAAAACACATCAGCTGGAGAAACACATGGCTGGAGAGGCATCACATCACACTTACTTTCAGAGCGTATAGTCCACATTTCCCAGGGTTTTAAAGAAAGTAACGTCCCCAATGTGGGAGTCAATACGAAGCACGGCGTTGAGGCGAGCCAATGGTGACGTACCACTAACATTAGAGAAAATTCATCCATTCAGTGCTTTCAGAAATAACAATAATAACATTTTTTAAATAATAGTCAGAGTTCATTAATTCAGTAAAATGGTCAGCTGATTACTGTATTTTACCCCTTAAAACTTGCTCACAAGTCTTGCTGCACTTATTTCACACAGCACTTTTTGCTATTTTCATAATTACATATATTTTGCTTCCAAATTTGGGCCATGGTTTTCCGAACATAGTTTGCAACATGCTTAAATGACAGCTCAACTGGAAGAGGGCTGAAAGTTCTTTAACAAACACTCCATCCATCCTGTAACACGTTATTCAATACAGGGTCACTGGGGGTTGTAGTTGGGAGACTATTGTAGACAACGCAAGGGAGAAGCACGGGAATGCCACGTCCGTCACAGAGTCATAAGGACTCTCCATTTATTTCTACGGCTATAACTCATAATCCTAAATATGATGACCTTAACCCCTAACCCAACCATAAACTTTAACTATAAGTAACCAAATATATGACTTTTGGCATTTTTAGTTTTTTGATTGCAATCACAGATTTTTTATAAAATTGAGTTTCCCCTAGTACGGACCAAAAAATTGGTCCCCACATTGTCAAAACAACAGGTTTTTATCACAGTGTGGAGACATTTGGTCCCCACAATGTAACATATACATAAAACACACACCCACCCACACACACCTACAGACCCTCATTGCCACCCACTATATTTGCAATATTCCTTTTTAATGTTAAAACGTGAGTGCGAAATCCTCCGTACCCAACAACTGAACAGAACTGATCGGACTTGACGAATCATCAATCTAACTTCTACGGAGAAACATAACTCAGGTAAGCGATACAGGTGTAGGCTGATGTTTCCGCATGAGTACTATCTGTCTCCTGGTGTTGCGTTACGCCGCAGAGAAACATCAGCACTGGTTTATTTCATTACAACTCAGTATAATAGGGTATTTCTCTTAGAGCCATGCCTGTCTGAGTGGGGCTTTGCATGGACTTGCCTTCTAAGGCCTGGCTTTGCAGGCTCATGACATCTCAACCTCTATCTTCCAGACAGCATGCTAATTAATTTAATCTGTGATAGAAGGTACAGAATCACTAAAAGGCCGTTAGCTAGTTTAGGTTATAAACTGCTGCTCTGTGTTCACGCTTGTCTTTTCATTAGTGCATTGGCATTAGTATTTGCACAAAATACTGAAAAACACTTCTTGTAGGACTGTGACAAGTTGCATCCCAACTAAATAAAGCTTGAAGTTTGGTACGGGTTGTTTTGTTTACTGCGATTATGTTTTAGATGATCACTAAAATATGACCAATCCTTCCTGCTGAATGCAGCAGGGGAGAGGACAACCAAATGACGTATAGAGCCCCCCCCCACCCCTCCCAAAAAAAAAAGAAGAAAAACAATCGAGGTTTGTTTAAAGAAAGCAAAACTGAAAACAAACCCTTATAATGCAAAACACACAGCCAAAACTGAAAGCGATCAAACCAGCACCACTGCCTGGAAATGTGCATCAACCTTGTAAAATAAATAAATAAATAAATAAATAAATAAACAAACAAATCAATAAATAAATGAACTCTAAACATTTATGAGGAAAACAGTCCAGTACTCAAAGTTTCATTACATGAGTCATTTGCAGGCACAAAACTGGCCATTGACTGCCATGAAAACGCAAGAGAGCCCCCAAATCCTGCCTCAGGCAGACAGCCCCCACCATATTCAAAATGATTATAACAAGAACAAGTTAAATATTAATTATGCAAACTCTGTATATCAGTGTTTCCCAATCCAGTCCTTGGGGACCTGCAGACAGTCCACGTTTTTGCTTCCTCCGAGTTCCCTGTAGGGGGCGCAGTGGGGGAGCTGGGAGGGAGCAAAAATGTGGGCTGTCTGGCTGGGAGCTGGGAGGGAACAAAAACGCGGACTGGCTGTGCGTCCCTCAGGACCGGGCTCGGAAACACTGCCGTATTTGTAATTGAAACACAAAACACACAGAAATTATAAATTATTGAGACACAACTGTCTGTCTGGGGAAGGTGGACACAGCTGCCAGTGGAAGCCTGGTGCTTTGACCTAGTTGCAATGGCTGTTGTGAGCAGAAAAGAGAGGATCAGAATAAAGCAGTGACAGAAGGTGAGGATATGGAGACCAGCCCTGTGGCACGGAGGAGACTTGTTTACGGCAGAGATATGGGCGGGTCAACCACAGGTAAAGAGATTCTTGGAAATAGGCAACATAGTATGTCGCACAAATCAGGGAGCAAATCTGATAGCATGAATATCCACAGGGAGTATGGTGCTGAATACAGCCCTCAGTGTAAACCTCGAGGAAGTTTGCAACATTTAATATGGTAAAGTATACAAATATATAATAAAAACTGTCTACCGACATGTTTGATTTCCCTGAAGACATTGAGATGAGTTTCCTTAGTAAATCGTGAGAAGAAACATTTTATGGAATCTGATGGTATAATTCGGCACAGAGGGACACTGCTATCGAAAAGACTAACACTTTACAAAGACTTGCAATGGCCTGGATCAAAAAGGGCTAGTAACATAAAAGTATGTGCTTTCTGGTGGCAGACTAACCATGAGAGAATACACGCCTGGCAAACAGAAACCCTTCCCTAGTCACTTTCAATCCTGAAAATGCCTCTAGTTGAAAAGAATTGCAATTCTGGACAGCTTGAAAAATCAATGTTACAAGTTCTGGCACAGAAACAGAAACAGTACAGTACAACAGCAAGTGACTGAGCATCCTAAACCAGAGCCTATAACCTACCTTTCCCCTTCTCCGGACTACACACTGAAACTAAAATATATTTTTTCATTAACTGCACATTCCTGTTCATTCAATCCTGTGCCCATTTGCACAATCCTTCTCTACCAAATCAAGTATTGACCTATACTTCTTTCGTCTAACATGTCATACATATTTATATTCTATGCATTATTATTTTTCTTTTGCAGAAAGACCGATGAGAACAATATTTCATTTCAATGTAGGACCCACGCATCATATACTGTAGCTCAAGATAACAAGATAATCAGAGATACTCTGACAGTTTAAAGTCCACAGAATTTTGTGACAGATGTGTGTGTTAATGAGTCTAACATAAAAAAATACCGAACAGTGGTTATGTGACTGGACACACACCAAAGAGGAAGCTCCTCTGCTCCCTTGACAAACTTCAGACAGGAAGCAACGCTCGCTTATAGATGGGAAGAAATAAACAGCACGCTACCTTAGAAAGGCGGAATGCATCATGAAGGTATCCAGTCACCTTGGGCAAACATGTCTCTCCCTCCTCCTTTCTGCCAAATGGTTATAGGACCTCAGAACACTCAGACCGCAAGATTCCGGGAGAATTTTAGCTGCAAGCAATTAGGCTGCAAAACAGCTCTGACACTATTCTCTCTAGGCTCTACCTCCAATGCACACATTCATGGCAAGTGTTTGTTTGTTTAAGGTGGTGTTATTTTTCTTATTTGTTATTTATTGTTATTTATCATTGGCTGCAGTACTTATTGTCTTCTGTTTATTGTCTTGTATGTATTTGGCACTATACTCTGCTGGAAGTTACGTGGATTTTATTGTACTGACTACATGTGACTGAGTACAGATGAATTAAAAAAAAAAAACTGGATAGATGACATGACAGTGTAATTTTTCTTTCAAATCCTACAGAAAAAAATAAGGCATCTGTCTCCTAGCTGAAGGTTAAAAGATGGAAAAACAAATTTTTATTTTTTTTTTTAAGTGAGGACATAACTCAATTGAAATGCTGTAACATGACCAGAAGCGAGCAGTTCACCCAAGATAGTCCGAATCACTTGCAGGTATTCTGTAAAGAGGAAAGCAACAAAATTCATTTCTGCAAGGTGTGCGCAGAATTGATGAGGACTTTGCGGCTGAAGTAGATGTCACCAGTCTCTGAATATACTAAAGACAGGGATCGGTGGATCAATTTGTTCGGGGAAAAAAACAAGTATTATGTATTGTTAGGCTTTATGTATTGTTTGTTTGATCAAATTCTCATTATTGATTAAATGCCATGCTATTGCAGGGCACAGATAATCACACATAATAAGCAACGCTGGTCGCCAGTTCCCCATACCAGTTGTTTTTGGACTGCAGGAGGAAACTGGATTAAACACAAGGACATGGATGCTTTAGACATACTCAGGGTTAGGGGCAAGCCCACGGGCTTGCAGGTGTGAAGCTAGGGTGCAAACTAGTGTCACACCTATAAACAGCGTGTTACAGTATGGTTCTGCCTGAAAAGGGCATTTTGTGTTACAGCCAAGTACACACATAAAAGGTAATGTAACATTGTAACGAAGTAATGAAAGATGAACAAAAAAAAACCCCGCGTTATGAGAAAATTTATGAGGCCTACTAGTATAATTTAATCAATAGGACCTGTAACAGTAATGGTAACAGCAATAATACATGTGCTAATATTAAAGATTTTAAAAAGTAGATACACACAGAGTATTTTTATGTCAGTGTAGAATTGTATTATGTCTGTCAAGGTGCATTACGTAGCTAAGCCATTTGAAAAACCTCTTCAGTAGCCATGGATTTGTTGAATCAAATGCTAGCATTCTTTTCCATCCGATACCAAGTAATATGAACGTTGGTAGCGCTGATACTGGTCCTGATACCAGTACACAATGCAGCCCAATCCTGACCACAGTTTTGGGCGCCCCCTCAATTCACTCCTCCCCCCATAATAATATAAACATTTAATCCACCAGATCTGAACAAATAAACAAAACGAAAAAACATACAAATAAATAGTTATTTTAGCGTGAGAATTGATTCTCAAAATGAAAAAGATCACATCAAAAGAATCAATATTTTAGTATGGATCCACACATCCCTACTACAGATATATGACCATGTTATGTAGTGAATAACACATGATTTAGTTCATAATGATTGTGCTGTATTTTGTTACATCATGCTTTTTCTGAACAAATACACACTAAAATAGGCTGAAATATTTTCTTTGACAGCCTAATACTCTTGCACAATGGAGTATTTTTGATAGTAAAAACATACTGAAGTACTCAAGGTTTCTAGCAAAAAAAAATGAGGTTGCTGACTTTAGAAGTTATTCTTGTAAATGAAGTCATCAAGTCCAAGGCTTCACCTTTTCTATGTAATGTTTATATTTCAAAACCTGTTTTTACCATCTGGCAGACTGATCACTGGCCTTGATTCTTTTAAATAAAAGAATGTGTCAGTTTTTTAACATATGAAAATAAACTTTTAACTGATGCATTTACTCTGCTACGATATACAATGCTTACAGTATATTTTGGTTTTATGTCCAAATAAAATGAGTGTTAAACATTTAATCAAAACTTCTCAGGTAGGGTGCAGTGGTGTGTGTGTGTCTATGTGTGTGTGTGTGTCTGTGTATGTGTGTGTGTGTGTGTGTCTGTGTATGTGTCTGTGTGTGTCTGTGTATGTGTGTGTGTCTGTGTATGTGTGTGCATGTATGTGTGTGTGTGTCTGTGTGTGTCTGTGTGTGTGTGTGTGTGTGTGTGTGTCTGTGTATGTGTCTGTGTATGTGTGTGCATGTATGTGTGTGTGTGTCTGTGTGTGTGTGTATGTGTATGTGTGTGTGTGTGTGTGTATCTGTGTGTGTGTGTGTCTGTGTATGTGTGTATGTGTCTGTGTGTATGTGTGTCTGTGTGTGTGTATGTGTGTGTGTGTGTGTCTATGTGTGTGTGTGTGTGTGCTGTTTAAACACTCTCCCTGTACCACATAGGTTTCCTCCAGCTATCCAAAGACACAGTTAGGTGCGTTGGTCACTCTCAGTTCCCCAAAGAGTCTGACTGAGGACGTACCCTGAGATGGACCTGCATCCTCGCCAGGCTGTACCGCACCCTGCACTAAATGGCTACCCCCCCTCCCCCCCCCCCAGCCCTGTATAAGTCATTACAAGGAGGGGGGAATGATGGATGGTTTTATAAAAGTTACTCTGCATCTTTAAACTGTATCCTTAGATTACATATGCGTGAACATTTGTCTTGAATTGCAATCAGTGGAGAAAAAAAAAAGAATTTCACTATTAATTGTTAAGATACTATTATGGCAGCAAACGCTTTCGGAATTAAATTTCTCGATCGTTAAATTAATCATGAATTCAATGATGCGATACTCCTTTCCTGATGGGGGGGGGGGGGGGGGGGGGGGGGGGGCTTTTTAGTGCAAGTTAACTTAACTGAACACAAGGCTTCAGAAGAACAGTGGGCAGGGTTATGGAAAATGGATCATTTCAGCTGTCAGAACCACTGCTCAGCACTTTTACCGTAAGGCTGAATTTATTTATAATG